TCAGTCGAATTGAGAACTTCCTCCTTTTTGAAATCGGTTAAAAGAAGTGCATTAATTTTTCGAGTATTTGAAGTTATTTTTTGTTTCTAAAACATATTATTTACTATAATACTAGTTACGTGATATTTTGATGTTTCTCAGCCGGCAACTAGTCCTACAAAAGAGCGCTACCAAACAGCAGCATCAACCTACGTTGGGCTGGGAAGTAAAAAAAAGTAATTCACTAGACAAGCTGGTGGTGCTCTTGCCTTCATACATAATCTACTTTGGTGTCATCTTGTATTTACTTCTAACTGCTTACTGTGTGCCATGAATGTTTTGTACGGTAGTCGTTAATGATTCATTTCTAACACACTATAAATTGAGAAAGTTTAGTAGGGAAATATTGATGCATCAAATCCATCTCTCACAGGACCATCATCATTATCACCATCATTACAGCCCTTTACAAGTCCACTGCTGAACATAGGCCCCCAAGGAATCAAAGCACGGTCCTGAGTCACATGCGTCCATCAACTTCCTGCATATCTTACCAGGTCGTCACTCCATCTAGTGGGGAGGTCATCCTACACTTTGCTTACCGTTTAAACCCCATTGTTTGTCGGTTCTTCTCAGAAGATACTAGCGTAAAATAGCAGTTTAAAGCTAATATGTTCTGAATGATGAGTGAATAAAAGCGGAGACTTTTTTTACTGGAAACAAGGCATTCCATATCAGTCCTCAAAGGTGGCAAGCATCTGCATTATGATCCTTCATCAAGCAAAGATATAGATTTCTATTGGCCTCAGCATCCAATTACTGGTGGTAAGTGAATGTTATTCGTGGAAGTGGTTGGCTGTGTGCTCTTTTGTCACCCTTACTCTACAACCAATAAGCTAATAATATTATTAAACTATTAAACCGTAATTTATTTTTGCAAGTAGATAGATATTCGCTTTTGATGAATAAGTTACGTAGTTAAAACTTTTTATAGGTATAAAATTAAAAGACATTTTATTAACAAATTAAACGTTTCATTTAAATAAATTAACATATTAATTTATATACACATTAGTGAAAAACTAATTCGCTTGTAAATTTCAAACATTAGATTGTTTTAACACCTAATGAGCTAATTAATAAATACATTAAAAATAATTGTCATTAAAAATTAGTATAACTTTGTAAATCTCTAAATGTATCTAAATAAAATTAACATTAAAAATCTCTCAAAAATTTATAAATTAATAAATTATATGATATATTAAGAGCGAAGGGATCACAGTTACAGCCTGAGAGCGTAAATTATAAAATTAAAATAATCTAAACTTATACATAAGCAGGTTTTTGTTAAAACATAATATATTTGATAACGTGTAACCTATGTTTCTATTCAAAGTGGAAATTACATAATACAAAAATATACATATCGGAATCTGACCCAGGGATCAAATAGGTATAGTCGACAGTACAATATGTTACGGTACTAAAGTATAATGTGTGAAAATGTTAGGTGGTAGGAGACCTTTTCTGTCCAAGACCCGTCTGGGTAGGTTAACCTACAAGCTACAACACAGCAATGCACACACTGAAGCCTGAAGGTTAAAGGGAGCCTCTTTAATTTCAGACTGTGAGGAATTTCGTCTTATTTCTCAGTTTTTTGCAGCTGTCTATGGGCTACAGTACATACTTACCATCATGTGGTACAGTCCACCTGATGGTAAGTAAGATTTACGAAAATTTTATTAAATAAAAATAACCTTACTTCTACGTAGTAAAGCTATGCCCTAGTTATTTTATAACTGCGGCTTGTAAGGATCGACTCGTCTAGGGAAGGACAACGCACTAACAGAATACCAGCGTTAAAATTGCAGCTTGTGCTATGTTTCGTACCACTGAAGACCTTACTGATAACGAGGCCTTGCGTCTAAGTTCTTAGGGACGACTATACATCTACATGATACTTAATCAAGGATAGATGTAGGTGTGTATGGGCTCCGACACCCACTTACCATCGCATGGACTGTATTTTCGTGTGTCTCCATTATTCTATACAGTAAACTTAACATCAATGTGTCTCTTAAGTGACATTATGTATAATAAAATTTTGTATTTGCTATTATAAAATGATATTTAACCAAGGAAATAGAAATGACTTCTAGTTTCTTTCTAGTTCTTTACGATATTGTATTTTAGATGGATTTATAACATTAGTAAAACTTAAAAATATGCATAGGTATATAAAATATGTTTTGATCTGAACATGTACTTTGTAAAGTTGACAATTTCCAAAAGTAACGTTAGATGCGTCAGTAAGCTGTGTCAATAAAAAATTTCCATATTGGTTACCATTTCATATTACCTCTAACTACTCTTGACACCTATATAATAAATAAGAACTAAACAAATGTTTTTAAATGGATTCAATAAACAAAAGCATAAAAAACAGTAAGTAAAATTTTAAACCCCAAGGCTATCCATAAATTATAAAGTTAGATTTAAAAAAGTTAACTTATAACTAAAATTATTTACAGTCGTTAAACAGTTGTCTATATTGTCTTAAATTCTAATGGTAATCTGCACCACCGGCCTGAACCTTAACCAACAAAGATTATTATTTATATTTTTAATTAATGAACTATACAAACATAACAATACGCAATTACTTATTTTACATTGAAAAGTGCAAAATTAAAATTTATTGAAGATATCCAGAACTGAGAATTTAGATTTCGTTTCTTGACTTTTATAAATTTACGGTAACTTTGTGGCGGTTTTATTTTTTGTAATAATAATTCGGATTTATAAATATCTATATTATTTATACCTCTTTAAAAACGTTTTAAAATAATTGTACTAGTTTTGGTTCGTTAATACAGAAACTGGGACGAATAACTGTCATTGTTTAAACCGGCTTTTAGGATAAACAACGTTAATCGTCTGCTTTCACTTGGTTCTACTTGGTACTTAATATTGTCATATTATACATCTTTTATGTTAACATTATACGCATTAATATATAATATTGTAACTGTATCATTAAAATTATGGGCAGGAAGGAGCAGAAGATTTGTTTCGCATTAAGTCAATGAATTATTTACAATATTATTATTGTATATATATTATTATTAATTATTTATAATTATTTAAAATAGTTTCCTTTTTTCTTTACGGATATTTTTATATCATCCAAGGCTCAAGGATAATTATCGTATAGTTTTAATTTTGTAAATAATTCATTGACATCGAGAGAAAAATAATTGTCAATGTTTGTTATTATATTATGTAAAATAAGTAGGTAAATTATTCTAAGTACATATTTTTATACAATAAGGCCCGTATTAATAAACGTTACTCAGCTCAAGTACACGCACTTGAGTACAATCTTGAGGTAACGATATCAGCTGAGTGGCACACTGATTAATAAACGAAACATCTCAAGTGTGTGTACTTGAGTGCAAGTCACAGATCAGTATTCCTAAGTACAGCGTTTTGAGATACTGTTTTATGTGTTTATTAATTAGCAACGATCTTGAGATGCTGATATTCTAATGAGGGCGCATCAATTGATTACGCACTTGAGTTCGTCGTTGAGTAACGTTTATTAATACGGGCCTAAGTATATTACATTTTAAATACCTAAATGCTTTAAAATTACAAATTCATCAAAATATTTTGATTTATGGGAGTACCAACTGCAAATTGCATAACGGTGTAATTAATATTGTTTTAAAAGCTTGTACAATTTATATTAACCATTTTAGTAGGTAGGTATAGTTACGTATATTAAACGGAATGCATTCCGTATTGAAGTTAAATTATTTCTATAAAGTAAAACAATCAGTTATTTTAAAAAAATGTTATAAACTATACTTAGGTACAACATATGAGTATTTATTAGAGTTTGTCTATGATACTCTAAACTCTTTAACATATTTTTGATAATCTCTAATATATTAAATAAATATCTAATATATTAAAATAAATATCTAATATATTAGATAAATTATTATTATTGAATATAAAAATCTTTTAGTGATTCGTTTAGTAATAAGCTTTAAGTAGGTATATGACACATTTTGACTTGCAAATATTTTTTGTTATGTGTTAAGAGCTTATTAACTTATTTAGTACAATTTCTTCTTATTCAAACTATAATCAACGTATTAGACTGATAATAATTAGGTCTTATGCTGCTTAGAAAATCTTATGCCCTGCTATTATACGTATTCAAGAAACGTTTCGTTCTGCCTTACCGTCTATTTAAAAAGAATGTAAAAACCAATTTAATTTCGAAATGTTCGTTCCGAAACGAACGATCCACAATAAAATAACTTTTATTCAAAATAAATATTCAAATAAAAAAAAGTTTTATTTAATGAATGGTTTTCCGTGGATTTGTACAGTCTAAAAACGGCGTGGGAGAAATTGAAGGGTTTTTAAGTATATAAATAAAGCATTCAAAGCAGCAAGGAAGTGGCATTATATACAGACTGTCATGAAAAATGTAAACCCGATCTTTACTCTCGTAGTTCCCGGTCACTATTAGTTTTTATGTCAATTATCAAGGTAAATTTCCAAAACAAATGCATATTATATTATTTTAAACGAATTTCAACAATGCGTAAGAATTACTAAAACAAAATAAAAGGCAAAAGTGCTGACTGTATTTGATAGATTTGTCGTGTACGATTAAAAAAACGCTGCACCTATAAAATTGAAAGATGCCACCTGTATTATGTGTAGATCCTTCAATATGGTCTCAAAATTAAAAACTATTCATGTCTAATTGCTTCCTATATTTTTATTATTTATCCATCAAAATAATTATAACCTGATTGAATATAAAATTTAAATATTTGAACTAATACTTTTGTGAAAAATAATTTACAAATTTTATTACGAAAAATAATATATAAATCTTTACCTTACGTTTCGATAATTATATCTGGCGTTGTTTTTTTTTTAAAATCGTAATAATAAATTAACTCTTAACTTTTAATACGCATATAGAAATAACTTTAACTGCCACATAAACAGGAATCTCTGAGGTTAGCGCGCAACCAGGGAAGATACCGCGTGATCCGTGTGTAAACTCCAGGATAACCTGGCCGGCCACAACCAACACCCCATGACACTATACCTGGAACCAAAATACATTTATTATTATTATGCTTACCACGAAGCAGTCAAATGCTTTAAAAACACCTATTTTTATTTTAGTAAGATAGTAGCTTAAAAATTTCCAACACTCAACCCTGTCGATGAAATTAAAAAATAAGTAACATTTGATAAACAATTTTATTTGTCAATTTTTTTTTCTCATATTTCATATCATCATCATTACAGCTCATCGTAAATCAACTACAGAGAATATTCCTGAGCCACCTTCGCGTTTCATCAGGTCGTTACTCTATTAAATGAGGGATCATTCAACATTGTGCTTGTTAGGGTGAGTCTGACACCCGAGAACTTTTTTCTATCGGTTGTCAGGTCTTCTAGCGGTATGTCCGGACCATTACCGATTCAGCATATTGATTCGTGAGCTCATTCTAAAACCTAACATATTTTACCATACATTATAAAATATCCCTATTCGATCCAAAAAAGCACATAGGTATCGCAATGACATTACCAAAAACACTATTATTATTATGCAATATAAAAATCTTATTATTATTTAAAATATATGATCTTTACAATAATTTGTTTAAAATTCAGTAATTTTTTTTAAATCTGGCAACACTGTCGACAGCGGCGGTATCTTAACGTGTAGGTAGTGGTATTATTATCCGACGGTTACTTTTTAATTAATTCTCTGAAAAGGATTACATGAAGAAAAATCAAAAACAACTTTACCGGGCTAATGGCTGGCAGCCCAAAAGAACTGGAAAGTTATAGAATAATGTATGAAATAAGACCGTACAATGTTTTGTCTTTAGTTAGACGAAATATTTTGGGTAATTGGGTTAAGTATTTACTTTTACATATTAACCAATAAAATCTATGACATCTATCATCTCTGAGAGAATAAACATCTCAAGAATTTCCATTCTGTGATAAAAAGTGGCAAAAAAGGTGCTTTAATCTGATATTATAGTTCAACCACCAGGCTATACAGGGTTATTTTTAAATTTTAAACTTAAGTTCAATTATATAAATAATGATATACCGTTAATGCAGTGATTGAAACTACGAGTAAATAAGGCACCTACTTTTATTTGAAATTATCCCAAATTTAATGTGATTTAGAGGCAACAACGTTTTTGCCTACCGATCGACCGTTATGAATGTGTGCGTGCGCAGTAAAATCAGTTGAAATAATGAATTACCACGCATTTTGAATTTTAAAGATAAAAAAGAATTTATGAGATTTTTTATTAATTTTTCTTCACCATTTGCCTATATTACTTATTCTGAATCTTCTCTGCAGAACCTTCTCTCGGCCGGTTATTGCAAAATAACCCTGTACAGCAATAACGACAAATCGACAATACGAACCGAAAATGGTGAACAAAATCACACACGCTGATTATAATGATGAAGTTGATGAATAATAATTAATAGAATCAGGCGTTACTTTGCGGAAATCCATTATATTAAAGTTGGTAAAAATTACCTTGCGTAAATCCGCTCGATAAAATAAAATTATGTGTCTTACCTAATACACCATTACACTAGGAAAGACACACCATCTTTCCTAGTGTAGTGTGGTGTTGGGAGTCGTAGGGTAGACGGGGATAGTGCACGCAATAGAGGGAGGGCGGGAGGTGCTCTTCAAACTAGGTAAGACACATCATTTTGTTTGATCGATCGGATGTAGGCAAGGTAATTTTTACCAACTTTAGCAGTTGATGAAGACAGATGTTAAGTACTTACTTAACATCTGTCTTCATCGTCATCGTCAGCCCAAAAAATTTCACCGCTAGACATGGGTGTCTCTTTTTGTAGAGAGGATTTGCCTTAATCGTTATACTTGGTAGGTAGATTGACGACCCCAATATTTTGTGTGTGAGTATAAATTGCTAGGATTTTGTAGTAGGCTCAAGACAATTGTAGAACGAATCCCGAGATTTTTAAAAATATAATATAAAAGTAACAGCCCTTAAAGTTAAGTCCCACAGTTCTCACACTTTATCAGCGAGATGTCGGAAATGAAGTTAATGTGATTACAGACGTTTAGTATAGAATTTGTAAAGGCTATTTACTAAATAACGAATAGCAAAGTGTTAAAGACAGATACGACTTGGCAAGTGGCTCGGTAACCGCAGTTTGGCATTTTACCACGTTTTTATTAAGTCTCTTTCTTGTTTATCATTCAAGATGGAATCTTGCAACTCATATCGAACACCTCCTGATGAGCTAGAGACTTGCAAATTTGAAAATAACTCATAATCGGATGACAGCGTAGGAATATGAGAATTACGTGGTATGCAAATTTTTTTAGTACAAATTTTAAAAATAATGACTTGTTTATTCAGCTATTATCAGATAGATGCTGCTGCCTATCTCCTTAACTATTTTATTCATAGAACTGTATTTTTTTTTATTTGTTGTATTTCATCTGATGATTGAAATGCAAGGCCTTATTTGAAAATTTTCACAAAAAATACATATTTTTATGTGGGCTGATGACATGGGATGAAATGGGGTGATTCGATTCCCTTTATACCACCACATGTCCTGGAATAAGAAACTACTATGATTCTTTTTTTAAAACACATAAAATCCAATGCTTATTATTAACCTTTCTAAAAATGTACCGAACGAAACATTTCTTAAAAAAAATTGCTAGCACTCACGCAGGATAGGCGAGTTATTGAGCGCAGAGACTATACTTTGACTGGTAATGCTAAATCAAACCAACCTGATCAACGTGGAAATTGTAATTAGTTTTTTGTGTGAATCGAAGAAGTATGGCAGAGCTTCATTCGTTAGTTAACAGGCTGCACCCCGTATTGACAAGATTAGCACAAGAAATTTGACCCTCTTACAAAATTGTTTAAGTAAATTAATTGTTTAGTACTTACCAACGATCTGATACTTTTCGCCTTGTTGAATGAGCAAAGGACCACCGCTGTCACCTTGACAGGAGTCAGTTGACGCTCGACCCGCGCATAACATGTTGTTCGTTATTCTGGAAGCTCTATACTTCATTCCCCGGCACTGTGTTAAAGACAAGATGGGCACGCGGACTTCCTGAACAACTGCCGGTAACTGCCCTCCTTCGGATGTACGTCCCCAACCCACCACTATGCCTTCTTTTCCAGCTGGTTCAGTTCCTAGAATAAATAATGATTCGCTGTTATAGTTGGAGGTATACTGGTACTTCTGACTATGTGGCCTAGAGATTGACTGAGACTGAGACTTTATAATTATTATGTAATTATTAGAATTTTCAGCTATGTGGTGACGGGCGGAGAGAATCTATCTCCTCAATTCATCCCGTGGATATTGCAAAAGAAAACTATGGAAAATGCGAAGAAAATCTTACCGCATTCGATAGATGGCAGTGTAAAAGATTACATTACATTTAGGCAGATTAACAAAATAGTAAGACCAGCGATAATATATAAATATTGTGGAATGTTTTAGACCCTTTTATGACAAGTTTATAATACGTTTAACATTTTCTAATTAACTAAAATTGTAGGGAAATATAAAACGCGCCCCAACTGGAAGCAAATTAAATATGTTTTGTTATAGGTATTAAGTCACTCGAAGGTAATACGATTTCGTTATGATAGAAAACTTCTTAAACAAACAGTTCAGAATACAGAGAACCTGGCTCTGGCGACAGGCGTCGGCAGAGTTAAGTATGGATCGCATGAGATGGCATGGATGCCATACTAAACAATGCAATTGCTTCCGGGTTTAATTGTTTAGTGACAGGCCCCGTACAAGCTATATCGCGTAGGACGTATAGTGACGACCTAAGGAAATTCACTACCATTTCATACCGTAGGAATCGTTAAAGGGAAACTGAAACAGGACATGGGCACCAGTATCTTCCTATCAGATTTTTTAAAAATATTAATAAAAAAAGAAATAAAAACAAAGGAATACTGATTTGAAAGTCGGTATTAAATATTTCTCAAGGAGACATTTCCTTTACTACCTAAAAAACGCCAACATAAAAGTGTAAAGTAATATTTTATTTACTTTTTATCCACTGATGCTCATGATCTTATTAGTCAAAGTGACACAGAAAGATTAGTATCACTGATCTGTAAGATCTATTGTGATCGCTGCTATGGAGCCATACGTCCTCAAGGATTTGAAGGAGTTGCTTAGCTGTGAGCAAATTCACTTCTTCAGGGCTAAGTACATAGTTTCCCAGACTAGTGTTACGTTTGCGCATTAAAGGTCCACAATCAGTTATGATGTGCAGAGGTATTTCTTCCGTTAAGGAACAGAATCGTCACATCCTTGAGTTGCTTGCTCGAGCACAGGCGCAAAGTAGAGAGAGAGAGAGCGCAGAGAGTCTCTCGGTATTCTATAGGATACATTTCGGTGAGTTTGCGCAGGAATTACACGCTTTAATTCCTCCCTCTCCTTTCCACTATCGGACAACCAGGCGGTTGGCGGATCTTTATCTCTTAGTTGTCGATAGTCCACGCATTAGAACCAAAAGGTTTGCCTCGTCTTTTGCAATGTGTACAGCAAAGGAATAATAAAAGGAATAATTTGCCGGCGTCTATCTTTCCGTCTGAATACAATGTGGGCATCTTCAAAGCAAGAGTGAATAGGCTTTAGTTACGCTAAGACAGTGCGATTTACTATCTAGGGCTGCATCACCACTTACCATCAGTTGGGATTGTGGTCAGACACTGGCTTATAATAAGTAAAAAAAAAAGTTTACATAGATAATATGGTTGACCTAGTGTTTTTACAGGTTGATTTCCGTACACCGAGGTATGGCGAAAATTTCTGCCTGGAAGAAAGAAGTTTTTATTAAACTTTCCCAAATTAACCCAATAAACCCAAATTAACATACTAAACTTGAATTTGTGGCGTTCCCCATTAATTGCCAAAGCCTAAGTTGAGGCCCATTTTTTACCCATTAGTATACCATAAGCTTACCGACTTTACAGATAACCTGTCCATTCAGTCTTCTCTGGAGGGTAGTTCCACTATATCTGAGATCATGCATAAAGTCGGTGTTTCCTTCACTGAGTCTAGCAAGGATCTCAATCTGTAGGAAAGCAAGCTCAGACCGCCTTACACAAATTAGCCCTCGCCTCTTACATTGAATACTTGAAACAAATTATCTTATGATATTTATCACCAGTATCTATCGCCAATATCTAATGCTGGTGCATATTTACACGAACCATTTCGAACTTGTAGTTTCGTAAATTTCATGATAATACCTATTACAGTCCTAGAGTTAATGTTCTAAAGCCATTTTTAATATTTATTGACTCACTAATCAAAAACCTAAGCACCAAGAGCTTGGCGCCCGTTCAGATTTGAAAACCGAACGTCGTTTGTACCAAACTTGGCGCCCTTTTCACATTTATCAAAAGTCTTAAAGTGCACCCTACAATTTTTCCCTTATTTCGATGTAAAACGAAATATTCATTAATTTTATTTCCCCAATTGGGATATTTGACATATTATAGAAGATGTCCAACATAGGCTAGTAGAATGTGTCAAATATCAAAGGGAAAGGGAAAATCTGGTGCAAAAATTTAATATCAATTTGAGTGAAACGGGTTGGTTTTTGAGTATACTTGCGGTAGCAAAATCATTCATTTCCATATTCTTACCACATTGATTCCCCCTTTCTAAATAGCATTTGTGTAACAGGAACAAGTTAGGTTACGATAAGGCTGACATATCCTTGTAGGATAAAAGCCTTTTTAAATAAAGATAGATAATAAAAATCCACGCTACAGACCGCAGAATTATACACCTTATTTGATACACTCTAGTGTGTGTGTAAATATCATTGAATATTATATTATAATATTATATTATAGCCATTCAGCGGGGAAATGCAGCCAGCGTTCTTGGCACGATACCGTGGGGAGTAAAGACTCTATGATAATTAAGTTACTAGTTTTAGTTATTTTTTTATAATAGTTTTTAATATACAATATATTAATAAATTTGATCTTATACACTAGATAGATAAGGCTACTCAACAAAAATTTTATTATCTTAGTGTTGTTTATTATAAACTGTACCACATTTAGCTGTGTAATAAAAGATACTTTTCATTTTTCATTTTCGTTATTAACAAGTACCTTAGCCCTCAGGGATGACAACTAGGGTTTCAGAGAATACTAGCGTGAGGTTGAAGTATTTATACTCCTGGGCGTGGCTACTCAAGTTGCTCCGCATATTCCACTCCGCAGAGATCGTGTTCCTTGACGATTTTAACGCCAACCACGCTGAATAAAATGGCCCAACACCGTTACTGTGTCTGTCGCCGATGTGATGCTACAGGCAATAGAAATTTTCATTCCATTATCTGTAATGCCTATCGGTGGCAGAAGCAAGCCTTGGTTTGATCATCATCATCATCATCATCATCATTACAACCTTTCACAAGTCAACTGCTGAACATAGGCCTACCCCAAGGAATGCCACAAAGCACGGTCCAGAGCCACCTGCATCCATCGACTTCCTGCATGTCTTACCAAGTCGTCACTCCATCTCGTAGGGAGTCGCCCTACACTTCGCCTACCAGTACGAAGCTGCCACTCGAGAACCTTTCTTCCCCATCGGTTGTCGGTTCTTCGAGCTATATGGCCGGCCCACTGCAACTTCAGCTTACTAATCCGTTGGGCTATGTCGGTTACTCTGGTTCTACTGCGCATATCCTCATTTCTAAGTTTATCACGCAGAGAAACCCCGAGCATAGCCCTCTCCATAGCTCGTTGAGCGACCTTGAGCTTCCTCATACGGCCAGCAGTGAAGGACCACGTCTCAGATCCGTAAGTCATCACTGGCAACACGCACTGGTTGTACAATTTCGTTTTAAGGTTTTGAGGTATGTCTAACGAGAAGATGTGTCGTAGTTTCCCGAACGCTGCCCAGCCGAGTTGAATCTGTCGATTGACCTCTCGGTCGAAGTTGGACTTACCTAGTCGGACTATTTGTCCCAGGTAAACATACTCGTCAACAACTTCGAGCTTAGTGCTCCCAACAACTACCGGCATAAGTGTGACATGGACGTTAAACATGATTTTTGATTTGTCCATGTTCATCTTAAGACCTATCCGTTGGGAGACACTATTGAGGTCATTGAGCATAGTGCTTAGGTCCTCCAGCGATTCTGCCATAAGGACTATATCGTCGGCAAATTGAAGGTGAGTGATGTACTCGCCATTGATGTTAATACCGCATCCTTTCCAGTCCAGCAGCTTGAAAACGTCTTCCAATGCAGCGGTGAAGAGTTTCGGGGATATAACGTCACCCTGTCTTACACCTCTCTGCAGTTGGATAGGTTTCGTAGTCTGATTCTGTACTCGGATAGCCATCGTAGCTCTACTGTACAAACACTTCAGCACTTCGATATACCGACAGTCAACTTGACACCGCTAAAGGGACTGCAGCACCGCCCAAATTTCGACGGAATCAAAGGCTTTCTCATAGTCCACATACGCAAAGCAAAGTGGCAGATTGCCTCGTCTGTCTTCTGTTGGTTTGGTCACTCCTGCAAAGTTGCGTTGCAGTAAAACAGTATTTTAAACACTAGCGCACTCAAAAAGAAGTACAATTTTGCCTCCAGGTCCTTCAAAAGAGTTATCGCTAGGGCAAAGTCAGAGAAGATTGGAAGAATTTGCGAAAAGCTAGTTTGCCTTCCTTCAGGAACAAGACTTTGCCAAAACTGCTCAAGGGAATTTCTATAAGCCTTCATTCGCTTTGCTTCGCTTTTTGCGTCCAACTCCACCCTCGACGACAGGGGGATTACACCGCCGACAATCGCACTGTGTTAATGCTCAATGCAGAATGTTCGGTTTACACAGTGCCCAGTGCTTAAAGCTTTACTCTCCCTGGACGTCCATAAGTCTAATGGGTCAGAAGGAATCCCCGCAATTGCACTGAAGGCATGTGCACCAGATTTGACACCAGTTCTTACTCGTTTTTTCTGGTACTTCTACTATTTAGGCGTCATACCAAGCTCATGGAAGATAGCTTTACTGCGCCTGATTCCTAAAAAAGTGACCGCTCTGACCCGTCGAACTACAGGACTATCGCCGTCACCTCCTTGTTCTCTAAAATATTGGAATGCACTATTAACTGCCAGCTCATGAGATACCTTAAATATCTTCAACTGATTAGTGACCACCAATACGGTTTCTGTCGAGGTCACTCAAGTCTTTATGTACCTGTCTCTATACATAAGGACATGAGCGACTGGGCGGAGGCAGTCGAGACCAAGAGGGAGGCTTTGCGGTTAGTTTGGGCATATCGACGGCCTTCAATCAGGTTTAGCATAAAGCGCTCCTTTCTAAGCTTCCTTTTTATGGGCTTCCCCAGAAATTATACAATTAAATCACCAGCTCTCTCAGATCGGAGCATTAAGGTCATAGTCAACGATGCATGCTCCTACTCCAAGCATGTGACTGCTGATGTTACACAAAGCTAAATGCTATTGCCTACCCTGTTCCTCCTGCATATTAACTATATGTTGCAAACCAGTGATATTCATTGTTATGCAGATAACAGCACTCACAATGCCTTATACAGCAGCCGTGCCAGTATGTTCATGGGTGACGGTGATCACTTACCATCAGGTGATTTGTTTGCTCATTTGGCTCCTCTTCCATAAACAAATGTGAAGTATCATCATATTTTTGTATGTAAACAATTGACTTGATATAGAAAACTCACCAGCGGCCGGTAAACAAACAGGCTTAATAATCTTGGAAAAGTTAACTGGTTTTCGTAACTTCAGAAGTGCGATATCGTTGTTATATGAGTCTGCGTCGAAGCTACGGTGTCGGACTATGGCATTTACGGCGCGCATGATAGCCGCGCTCTCGGTCGTGATAGTTTGATCGTGGTCACCGAGGATAACTCGAATCTTCGACCGCTTTAGTCTGGAACACAACATACCTGATTAACAATCCTTTTTAATAATAATTAAATATCCTATATGTAAACAAACAATTCTTGTATACATTAATTCATTGATACACATCAATCCACTCACAAATACAACTTATCAAAAGTCCACAACTGAACATAGGTCTCCCCATAGATTTCCTCATAGAAGGAATATTTGACATAATTCTTGGTAACCGCAATTTATTGAATTCAATAGTATTTTCAGATGTTACTAAGACGTCAGGAAAATGACAGGAAGATGCTGCTGTCCATCTTTTGCTTCTTCTTTGTTTCTCTCTTTCATCTCTGACGACACCCACGAAATAATATGAGGTATTTAATTCTCTTACTTCGTTCTTTAACTTCGTTGCGATGTAAAGAAATTTACTACCCCATCCACTAACCACACGGTGATTGCTTGTTTGTTTCCTAACGCCAAACAAAGCTTGATCGTCCGGATACTGATTTATTTAAACTAGTTTACAAATAAAGTTTATTCAGAGTACACGAGCAATCTCGCTGGCGCGAACGATATCATAAACCACATTTTTGACGGTGAAGGAAAACTTCATGAGGAAACGTGCATGTCAGAGGAATAAACATGTTTCGATAACATATAAAGTTCATGAACACGCACTGAGCAATGCAATGGATGAATTGCTCTATCACCCTCTCAGAAATTAGAAGTGTACATGCCACACAGCAGGGGGACGTATGCAGTCTGTTTAATTCACAGTATGACACCGTCCGTGAACAACTGCAACACCAGGGGGTCCAGAGGAATTGCAGATGCGTTGCCGGCCTTTTAAAAAGGAGTAGGCTCTTTTCTTGAAGGTCCCCAAGTCATATCGGTCCGGAAAATCGCTGGTGGTAATCGATTCCACAAGGAAGTTGTGCGAGGAAGAAAACATGTGGTGGTCCGCCAATCATCCAGATGGTGTGGATGGTATCAGGAGTTTTTCCGCGATGTGGGTTAGTGAAATTTGGCGGCTGGGATTAATCCGAACAATTCCTCAGAACACAAATGCAAAGGGATAAAACATCTCTTCGCAGCGCCAATGAATCGAGCCGATCGGAAACGACTCGGTCGTCGACGATTCGAGCCGCTCTGCGCTGGATGCCGTCAAGTGGAAGGAGCTGGCACTGGGGAGCCCCAGTCCAGAGATGGGAACACTAATTCCATGAGAGGCTGAACCTGCGCCGTGTAAATTTGCAGGCGTAAATAAATAAATAAATCGACTGCGAATAACTTTATATGTAGCACAACCAACCATTTACAATTAAAATAAGGATAACATTTTACAAATGTATCCTTTTACGCTGTTTTTAATTTAAAAACTAAACATTATTTGGGTTGGATTTAGAATCGTTGTGTTGTATTTGGTAAAGGTTTGGTCTCCGATTATAACAATAAAACTCGAATTAAAAAGTAATGCACTGTTTTCGCGAAAATAAAAAAATAACTATTATAACCTATAAATGGGAAAAACATGGAAAATCGAATGCAATATTACTGTGAAAGCTAGTATACATAATTTTGTGTAAGTGTGATAAGGACGTAAGACCATATCAAAACAGATGTCACATTATGATACTTCTATGGTATTTATATTCTTCAGTGGTCTATAGTCTCTTAATAAATTATGTTTAGAAATAATAAAAAATGATGGTTATATACTTTACACCCAGAAATCCTTTCAGTTGAGTTAATATAGAAGGTTCGTGTTTTTTTTTTACCGCCAAGAAATACTTGAGTACCCAGAAATCCTTTCAGCTGAGTTAGGTTAGAAGGTTCGTGGTTGACATTTTTACCACCCAGAAATACACGAGCACCCAGAAATCCTTACATTTGTGACCGGGGGGGCACATCCGCTCCACCTCCCCCTCCTCCTAAGACCTGCCTTGGAGAAACAGGCTTACCTGAAAAACTTTACTATAATCGCGCCCTTTGTGATCAGTAGAAAACACCGTAGAGCAAATTATATGTGCTACAAAAATCTCTATAAAAATGAATGAAACCAACGTTAAGGCGCAGGTTGAGCAAAATGTCGCGCTAGTCGTTATTTGTGCCATTTTTAGGAGCTATCTAATTTTTATTTAAAAGATATATCAACTAATAAAAAACCCTTCATATTTCTACATAATCTTGATTCCATATGAGTCATATCCAATTTTTTTAAAGGAATAAATATTAAAATAATCGCCTTACAACGAAACCACCTAAATGTGAAATAATTATTGATAACATGGATCTCCTCGTAAAGTAAGTATTATTTTATTTTGCTATTTACACCAATGTATAGGCAATTTATTAATGAACATTTCTATCATAATTTTTTTTGAAAAGAAAAAAATTTGATATTATTAAGAAATTATTTTAAAAACTCGGCGTATTCACTGCCCACGGGCTTGCTGGAGTCAGTGAGTGTTAAGCTCTTAAGGTGAAACCCGTGTCGTTTGTCACGACGTCAGCCAGCGCACATGCTCGCTGACGTCATCTTATCAATCGATAATATTATTATTACTTATTAGGTTATTTATAGTTAGTATTATTTGTTTGTTTTGGGTGTAATTTATCGTATTAGTTATACATATATTTGTTGTGTTTTTACTGCGCGATGAAGCTTTTTGCGTGTATTTTCTTTGAAGTAAATGCAAATAAAAAATGAAGCACCATTAGCATGTAAGGTTCGAATCCATAATTAACATTTCACCTAATAATATAATTTACACTATAAAAGGCTAATTCAATATTATCAGTATAGTATACAGTTAAAAATAATCCTCATACCCAACCACAATATCTTAGTAGGTATAGTACTGCCTCGTTGGTCTAGTGGTTGTAGTAGTGCGACTACTGATCATAAGGTCCCGGGTTCGAATCCCGGGTCAGGCTAAAAGTCAGTTATGAGTTTTTCATTTATGTTCTAAGTTATAATTAGTATTACTAAGTTATAGTTTTTTGCTAAAATATAGTATATTATTTATAGCTTGTTTTTTTCTTTTTTTCAAAAATTTATTGAGTACTTAAGGTGTTCTTAATATACGCCGAATATCAGAGAGAAAAGCTAGTGCATCTTTTGCTAAACTTTAAAATCTAAAACCAATTTTAAAACAGACGAATTTATCATAACTCCCTTACCTATAAAACAAGTTATGATCTAATTAATGGTATTTATTCCAGTTTATGGAAGCCCTGATTTATATTACGTGGCTGAAATTAGGTACTTTTTATTAGGTACGTCAAACCAAATACCAGCCGGGCGGCTGACATTATGCACTCCATACATTTCTTATATCTAATTACAGTCCCATTAATTTCAACTAAAAGAAAATAAATAACTTGTAAATTCAAACAAAAATAACTGCATTACTATGTCTATAGTCATATTCATACAAATCAAAAAACCTATATATGAGATAATGTAAAGTAAGCATAAGTTTACCGGGATCATAACTTGTCAAATAATTAGGAAAATGATCGTTTTTCGTTGCGTACGTGTTTTGATTTTTAATTTAACACTGTTATGTTTAAAACTGCGAGGTAATATTTGAATAAATAATCTAGGTACAAAGAATTTTTTTGATGTCAATATTTGTAGTTAAGACTACTAGAAATCTTATTTATGGAGTAAAAAGGCGAAAAGACTGGAATTAGGGGCATGACTGGTATTAGAGGCATCCACCCTAATTCGGTAAAAAGTATCTAAGTAGGTATTAATATACCTACCCAGTATAACTAATCACAATAGGTACCTATGTAGGTATTATGATTAGATAAAAGGTGCTTATCTAAATAGTTACCTACTTTTACTAAGTAAGTACTAATACCTACCCGGGCATCATTTAATTACAACCCAAAAACCCCTATAAACTAAATTTTTTTAAAACTAATTTTAACTGAAAAGAACTAAACTGAGCATTTATTTTTAACTCAAAACAGGACATGGGTTTATTTATACTCTAAAAACTATAACCTTATACAATTAGTGTTGACTATAAAATTATATTCGGTATAGGCGGTAATTATTAAATGCAACATATTTTTTTTAATTATTAATTACATTTTTCAGTGGATTAAATTTGCTTTAATAAAGTTGGTGATGATTTTAAATAAGAATAAAATTCTGGTCAAGTTTTTTATTGTTACCTTTGTTAACAACATCGCCTTTAGAACTGGAACCGTAAGTGTTTTTTTCAGACGTCCACAACTTATTCAAAATAGAAAAATTCTCTTTCTACTGGAGCATTTGTACCAGGTAGACATCAAATATATTCGATTAAAAAAAAATTATGTTGAAGGTTGTTCACTTTGGATACTTCCATCCAACGAGTTGCGGGACAATTTTGTATCCCGGAGCTTTGTTTGGGTACAATGGGACGGGTGACCGAGAAAAGGAACAGACCCGTTCAAAACGGGACGTATGGTCACTTTAGCTATAACCCGGTGATGGCTCCGTGGCGCAGTGGCTTAGCAATCAGTTGTTGCGCTGGGTGCCGTGGGTTCGAATCCCACACGGAACAAGTATTTGTATGGCCGACAAATAATTGTTCCGGGTCAGGATATTTGTCCTTGTGCAATTTATGTTTGTAAACTGTCTCCACGACACTGGAGAAAATCCTAGTGTGGCGGTAACGTTTTTTTAAAATTGAAATGGAAAGATTGAACCCTTATACTTCTTGTTGATTTTTATATTACCCTTATTAAAGTTACCCTTATGTATAAATAAATATAATTACGTATGTAGAAATAAAATAGAATAAAAATAAAAACAAACAAGTTTTTTTTTCATCCTCATCAATCATTGGGGTGATGATGATGTCAGCCAGCATAAGTAATAAGCAGGCTAAGTTACAAGGTGCTCAGTTCAAAAATTTGTAGGTAGGTAGGTATGTTACTTTTCAATACGTGACACGTAAAAATTAGCAATAATCAAAAACACATCTGCAAAACATCCTATTTATTTATTTATTTATTCTTTATTGCACCAAATATTTGTACAAAAGGCGAGCTATCTATCTATTTACCTATAGTGAGTAGGTATCTTTTAAACACACTATTTTCAATGCTACATTTTTAATATATAATTAATTATAAAATTTCATAATTAGATAATATATGAGAATACATAATTCTAATATAATGCAACTAATATACCGAATAAAAAAATTAAAATACATTTATCGTTGTACGCTGTGTGTATTTCCATAAAATAGTTTATTGATATTGAAAAAATAATAGTACGTTCGTGCAGTAGGTGGCGTCTTACATATTTCTTACGCAAAATTAGCGAGTCGGCACGCCAGCCGAATGCTCAAGGTCGTTCGCATGGAGTAGCCCCTTAAGTCACGTCACGGTCACGGACTTAACCTTGAGATATGCCATTCCCATTGATTTTTATAGTTTTCTGTTAACGTTAACAACTGAAGAAAATCCACTTGGCTATAGCTATCCCTGCAGTTAGTAAATAAAGTTTCGATAACCAACAATTTCAGTCCTAATCTACAATAAAGTAATGGTAGAGCCACGCTGCAGCTTTATTATTGCAGCAGCACATGGTGGAGGACTACACTCTCACAGAATACCAGCGTTTAATAGCAGCATAATGCTGATGTAATTTTATAGGAAGTGAGAAGTCAGAGATCGATTTTACTGGTAACTAGCCAACTTGGTCCTTAAAAGTAACATTACGTTTGCATTTTGGCTCTTAATCGAGAGAATAGCTGCAAGCGTATGTGGGCCACACCATCCATCTTCATCAGGTGGGTGGACATGTGCTCGTTTGTCACCCTTACGTTCATCAGAAAAAGACCTAGATTATGGTTGTAATAAACTTTTAGGTAAACCTAGTGTAGGTTTCAACTGTCGAAAAGCCATTTTTTTATAGGATAGGGTGACAAACGAGCGCGCAGTGCACCTGATGGTAAGTGGTTGCTGTGGTCCATAGACATCTACATTTATCCTTGTTTGCGAATCAAAATGCAGATGCGTTGTCACCCGTGAGGTCTAAGATGGAATGTCTCTTTTCCAGTAAAAAGGGTCTTTTTACGCTGGTTTTCTGTGAGAGCGTGGTCCTTCCCCGGTCGAGCCGACCCATTCCATTCCAACTATACTACTAATATAGCTGCAGCATGGCTCTACCACGTAAAAAATAATTGTTTAATAATTTGTTTGTTCATATAATATTTTTAAATTATCTGACTTTTAGATTTGTTCATATGTTCCGGTTTTCCTTCCCCGCTGAGCACAAGGTAAATCAATTTAAGGGGTGCTAGACGGATTCGCACTCTGGTTACTCCTGCAGTTTAAAATTTATAATGAGTGCCCAGTCATTTGATGGCTCTATTCTCGCCATACAGGTTTAATCCAAATTTTTTTTAAATATTTAAACTTACTTTCTGACGCAATGTGCCGCAGTGAGAACGTACTCCTTAGTAAGTAAGGACGCTCCGCAATGAAACTGTCCGTCATAGACAATTCGGGCCATCCAAGGATATCGATTCGCGCTTGCCGGCGTCCCACCCACGATCCGATTTTCTTGACTTGATCCGTTACATTCTGGAATATAACATTAATAAGGTGAATGTTTCTAGTGATTATTAAAAAGTATATTGAAATAATAAGCAACTTTACAAGTTAAACCTTGTCTACAAGTATTATAACTAATTGGTTTAGTTGAAATGAAACAAAAAGTTAATTTATTGTAAGTTGCGTTAATTTATACATTTATAAAGAAACCATTTCCGTTAACAAGCCGCAATGAATCCATATCTGTATTCCAGTTTGGAGGTAAAAATGACATTCCACTTTTTTCCTCAAGGGTGACACAACAGTTTTATTCTTAATCGAGGGTAGATGTAGATTTATGGGCCACAGCATCCATTTGCTATCAGATGGACTGTGTGCTCGTCTGACACACTTACTTCTATAAAATAAATCGAGCTGGCGGTTCACCTGATGGTAAGCGGCTACTTCAGCTCACTTGGAGCGAAATACATACAAAAAGGATCACAGATTCAATGTCACGCCTGAGGACTAATATCAAATATTGTAAACTTTTTTATCTCATATGTTACATCTGAGATACAGGTTCATCTTAGTTGAGATGTCTTTTTTTTTCACACACAGTCCACCTGATGGTAAGTGATTGCTATGGCCCATAGACATCTGCATCTATCCTCGATCATGAGTCAAAATGCAGATGCGTTGTCACCCGTGAGGACTAAGATGGAATGCCTCTTTTCCAGTAAAGTCTTCGGTTCTCTACACTCACCATACGAAACACAGCAGCATTAAGCTGCTATTTTACGCTGGTAATCTCTGAAAGCGTGGTCCTTCCCCGGTCGAGCCGACCCATTCGTGCTATAACTATACCAGTAATATAGCTGCAGCATGGCTCTACCACGTAAAGTCTTTATTTATAAATTATTTTAAATTTATTTATTAAAAAATTAATTGGGGGTCATTGTAGAAGCGTGCTCGTCGCGACCCCTGCCAGCCCTTTTCAGGGCTGCAATTCTACACAGCTGCGCACTCATGCCAACGAGGGTTATGGCGTCCCCCCAAGGCGACGCACACCTGCTCGTCCCCGTTGGTGTGGAATGCAGCGCGCAAAGCGACGATAGGGACCGCCACCCGTCACACACAGCCCGACACGGCGGAAGGTGGAGGACAGAGTGCAGAGTTGGCACGTGGAATGTTAGAGGAGGCATGAGAGATAAGACGAATGAGTTGATCGAAATAATGAAAGAAAGAGAATTAGATGTCGTGTGTATGTCGGAGACCAAACGGAAGGGCAGTGGTACTGAAGAGCTCCGTGGCGGGGCGTTAGCTCTATGGAGAGCGAGAACGCCTGCCAGAGAGTGCGAGTGCTGCTGTCTTCTCGGTTGGTCGATGTTATGACTGAATATAAGGTTGTGAACTCAAGACTTCTCTGGGTTCGCTTTAAATTGGGACTGACGAAGTTATTCCTTTTGGCTGTTTATGCGCCGGCAGCTTCGTCGTCCAGGGCTGAGCTTGAGGAGTTTTGGGAGAATGTAAGAGAAGTTCAAGATTTGGTTAGGGGAAACGAAAGAATTGTTGTATGTGGTGATTTGAATGGATGGGTTGGTACCGCTCGACCAGGGTACGAGTCGGTGCTTGGAAAGTTTGGCGATAAAAGGTTTGATGATGCTGGCAAGCTTATACTGGCTGTATGCAAAGAAAAGGGTCTTTTTGTGACAAACACTACGTTTAATCACAAGAAAATCCATATGTATACTAGACAAAGAAAGAATGAGAGAAGTATGATCAGGTGATAGATACGCGAGTGTTCAGGGGTGCTGACCTGGGAACGGATCACTATCTAGTGATTACTAGATTTAGGGGTCTGTTCGCGGGTTGGTGCTACCGAACGGCAGTAACAGAACCACAGTCGGTCTGACGCATCCTAAGCTGGAAACTTCAGGAAGCGGATACTAGGGACAAATATCATGCGAGGTTAGCCGAAAAGCTTGACACCATTGATAGCAGAAAAGAATGTGTGGAAAGAACATGGCAGAACCTTAGGAATGGAATGGTAAGTGCAGCGGAAGAAGTGTGTGGAACGATAAAAAGAGGTAGTAGTAAAAGAAGAGATGCATGGTGGAATGATGAAGTGAAAGAAACTGTAAAGAAGAAAAAGAAAGCATGGTTAGACTACTTGGCCTCTAGTAATGATAAGGATATGAGAGAGAAGATGAAAGAAAGATATAAGCTGCAGAAAGTTCATACGAAAGCATCGATTGAGGAAGTGCGTGAAAGGTGTAAAATGGAAGCGGACGAAAGGTTGTCGCACAACTTTAAGGAGAACTCCAAATTCTTCTGGAAAAAGGTTGGAAGTACCCGAAGTGGTGTGACGGCCTTAAAAATGAACAAAGTGCTTTCGAGAACCAATGACGTACTCTCAGAAAAATCGGACGTCATGCAGCGATGGAGTGAATTTTCTAGAGAAATGTATGCGTGTGATGATCTTAGTGAGGGATCCGGGGGTGACGCCGTGACTGGTACGCCAGACCCGGACCTCGATGACACTGAGGTCATCAGTATGAAAGAGATTGAACGTGCGATTCGAAGTTTGAAATGTGGTAAGGCTGCGGGACTAGACAGAGTTACTGCTGAAATGGTCAATATGGTGGGCCTCGCGTCTGGGACAGCTTTTTTCTGCTGTGCAATTTGTGCTGGCGGACGGGGATGTCCCGGATGATTGACGATCCGCAGTCATTGTGCCTTTATATAAAGGTAAAGGTTCACATTTTGACTGCGGGTGCTATCGGGCGATCAGCTTGACCAGTTTAGCAAGTAAAGTTTACTCGAAAGTTTTGACACGTAGGATGCAAGAGAAATCGGAAAGATTTCTATGGGAGGCACAATGCGGATTTAGACCTGGAAGAGGATGCACAGATCAAATGTTTTCTTTCCGCATGATCACGAAAAAGCTTCTGGCTGCTAACCAGAAGATTTTCTGTGCTTTTGTGGATCTTGAGAAAGCATTTGATAAGGTTGTAAGGAAGAAAATGTGGGAACTGTTGCCGGCGTATGGTGTGAATGGTCGATTGCTAAGGGCTGTGCAGTCACTTTACTGTGACTGTAAAGCCTGTGTGCGTGTAGGGCATGACCTGTCACCCATGTTTAGCGTCCAAACGGGCGTAAAACAGGGTTGTGTCATGTCTTCCTGGCTGTTCATACTGTATCTCGACAGCTGTTTACAGAAGCTGAAAGATAGCTGTTTGGGTGTGAAATTGGGTGACATTAAATTAAATTGTCTGCTGTATGCTGATGATGCAGTGCTTATTGCACCATCAGAGGCAGAACTGCAGGCATTAGTCACGTGTATGAAAGAGGAATGTGAAATTAAAGGTGTCCGTTTGAATGCTAATAAAACTAAGGTTCTGGTATTTGACAGGGATGAAGAGAGAACGAAGTGTGAAATATGGGTAAATCAGGAATGTCTAGAACAGGTATATGAAATTGTATACTTGGGGAGTGCTTTTAGCCGGGATGAAAGATGTGATTTAGATTTGGACAGGCGTGCCGCTGCCGGGAACAAAGTCAATGGTGTCCTGACTGCGTTAGTCAATAGGCAAGGCGTAGTGAAGAGTGCACGCCTTGCAATACATAACGCAGTGTTGGTACCGACTTTGTTATATGGCAGCGAAACCTGGGTATGCCAGAAGAAGCATAAAAGCAAGTTGAATGCAGTGGAGATGCGATCTCTTCGTAAAATGTGCGGCGTTACCATGGCCGACCGAAAGCGAAACGAAGAGATTCGCAATATGGCAGGTTTGAAAGATGACCTTATCACAAAAATTGATAAGGGCGTGCTTCGATGGTTTGGGCACGTTGAGCGAATGAGTGAAGACCGAATGGTGAAGAAAATATATAGCGCGAAAGTTAATATTAAAAGGTGTCGAGGTAGACCGAGACTAACTTTCGAAGACCATGTGAGCAAATTGCTCGAAAAGGGGAGGGTCAAGAGTACTCGGATACCTAGACGTGCATGTATGAAGAAGATAATGTATCTGAAAGAAGCGAAAGAGGTATGTAAGGATCGTGACACTTGGCGATCTGTTCTCTCTGGCTACCCCGTCAGGGATTGTGCGTGAAGATAAGTTAAGTTTAGTTAAAAAATTCATTAATTAATTTTATTTAGATATGGCAGAATTTAATTTAATTAACCAAAATGGCGGCGATGTGGTTCGCCACCCATCACGTCTCGTTTCTCGCGGAGACGAAAAGTGGCCCACGGAGAGCCGCTTCGCTACGTTGAATGTAAGAGGAGGAATGGATGGTAAGGTAGATGAACGTTGCATTGATATTCTGTGCGTGAACGAAACCAAGAGGAAAGGATGTGACACCACGGTTCATGGCCCCTACACGGCATACTGGTCGGGAGTCCCCCAAACCAGCCGAGGCTGTCAGGGAGTTGGTGTGATTCTTTCATCTCGAATGGTTGAATGTGTGATGGAGCATGAATGTATAAGCCCAAGACTCCTCTGGATTAGGTTAAAAGTCGGACTCACTCGCTTATTTATCCTTGGGGTCTATGCACCAACGGATCTGCGTGGAGGTGGGTCATTAAAAACACAACAAGAGAGAGAGGAATTTTGGGATAGCATGAGAGAGGTCTTGAATAAATGCGGAGAAAATGAACGGATCGTGATGTTAGGGGACTTTAATGGATGGGTTGGAGTAAAGCGTGATGGGTATGAAGGAGTTCTGGGTACGTTTGGGGACGAGAGAGTGAATGACAATGGGAGAAGCCTGCTTGAAGTATGCTTGCAATGGAATCTGTGCGTGGCCAACACAATGTTTGACCACAAAAAGATCCATTTGTATACAAGAGATGAGGGTGAGTCTAGAAGTATGATTGATTTTGTAATTGTGGATGAAAGACTGAGGAAGAAAGTGCTAGACACTCGGGCATACCGCGGTGTAGGCCTCGACACAGACCACTTCCTGGTCATAGCCCGAATGCGTGGCCTCTTTAAACGGTGGCGACACCGAGTGGCCGGGCCTACGAGTGTTTTGGACAGAGTAAA